CAAGGATTTAACCGTATAGCAATTGTACTTAATTCTGCCTTAAAGACGTTTTCTTCCCTTTTTCCTCGTTATTTTGAACTGGAAGATCTACTGGGCAAAAATATTCGGCATCGAACGCCAACGCCAGACCTACGCGCACCTTTGAATGGCATTGCGACAACATCGGAGTTGAAATCTACATTTTTATCATTTATTTCCGTCTTATAGTCCTTCAGAGAAAGGATTAGGTGATCAATAATTTTAGAACACCACTGAAACGCGGTTGAGCATTTTTTTCTTTTGGTTTTGGACTGTTTTTACTCGCCATACTGTATGATTTTATATGTATGTACTGAACAGAGACGGAGAAAATACGCACGCAAAATGTTGAAATGCGATATGACGCTAGGTGCAAAGTTCACAGTCAGGAATTTATCGCACTTTACATGATCCCGGGTCAAGCCAACCCAGCTTTACAAGAAGAAATGAGTAATGTTTTCATACGTTCACACCTCGCCAATCCGGGTCGACCCGGGTCTCGAGAAGGGTGCCTCGGGTTGGCGAGGTGTGAAAGGTTGATCCGGCTATCGTGTAAACGCTAATAGAGATTTATTCGTAGACCGGTTAACCCGGGCTGGCAAGCTAGCCCGGGTTGATAGTCAACGCGGGCTCGTGTAAGGGGGCCTTACTCTAGCTTTTTAATATCACCGGCATGTTTTCATTAGTGTCCTTCAGAGCCTACATGATGTCATCACCTTTAACAGTAGCAATGATCTATATCTAAACCTAAAAAACTTGCGAAATTGCATTTCCCATTCCGACCGCATATCCAAGATTCCGACCGCATATCCAGTAAACTTTCAGTTTTAACTTCTACCTTTTGAATGCAGCTGAATATTCTATATAGTTCATTTCCAGATTAAGTGTTTCAGCCTAGGATCTATGACCTAGCCTATGTTCCACCATTCTTCACCCATTTCATTCAATTACCAACCGTGCTGGTATGTTTAGTACCACAAATATTTCCCATTTTCATGCAACCACTCATTACCAATTACAGTTATCATACATTGTTATCGAATATTTATAATCGTGCAAAATTCATAATCTTATAACCTATATTTCTTTTTATAATTCCTATTCTACATAATTATTTAAGAGTTCTCATGCCAAAGGCAAAGCCCGGCAAAGCTAGTCTTCATGCCTGTCAATTTTCAAACAAAGCGACATCAATGTCACCCATTAATGTCAACTAAATATTTCCGTTGCACCTACGTCATTGCACACAACATAGCCCTCTGTTATATCGTCCATAATTTCATTCTACGCACGGCCTTCTTCCACTCCACAACAGTTGTCTCAACTTTATCCGCAATCGTCGTGGCCATATTTTTTTACAATTATGGCAAACCACCTAGACTTGTTGGACAGCGCACTTACATTACAAGAAATTATAAGCGTCGAAAATAAGGATTGCAATTTTACAATTTTAAGACAAAGTAAATCTGTTTCGATTTTATCCTTTTAGGGCAAATTAATCTGTTTGTTCAGAGCCTACACAATGTCATCACCTTCAACACTAACAATGGTCTTCAACAATGTCATTAATGTGACAAGTATACCCGGGTTAATTCGTTCGAGTTTACTATCTAAATGTTTTAGTTCCCCATGGATTTTAAAAAATACAGTGACGGTAAACTTTAAGTTTACAGTATTTCAGTAATTTGAAACTGAAAACAGCTGCGTCAACTATATTTGCGTTTATAACTCACACAGCGGGAGCTAACCCAGGACTCAAACTGAGTCAAGTTTGTTTCTTGTGATATATTACTTATTGTTTATTACTTGACTGTTTAACAATTCATATATTAATATGTTCAAGGTACACTGTCCTGTCTTTGGAAGCATTCTTAATTATTATATTTCAATCATGCCTTACCTGCAGTCTACTAAATATTTTGTGGGCAAATTAATCAATAGGCTATTAATTAGTAATTTATGGCTGTGCGCATATTGTAGTGAGATTCGTGAGCCGTACTGTATTTAAATTATAATTTTCCCTGGGTGACTAAAGGAAGACTATCCCATATTTAAAAACACTCATTCTGTATTCATATATATTATGGGCATACACTTGCGGCTATGATTATATATTTTCACTATTGTAGGCTATATATCATTATATTCCTCAAACGTGTTTTAATAATCTCAGTACCAGTACTCAGTAGAACCTGTGCGCGTTTATATATTTGATACATTGCGAAGAATTTAATAAACCGAACTTCTTAAACGACGTGAATAAATTGCATGTAATAATGCCCTGAAGCCACTACATGTATATATAAAATCCTAATCAGTATTAAACGACAAATATTTGTAGGTCCTATCCTATAGAGGCTATAGCGTTTATATATAATAAGTAGTTATAGCGCATTTACGCATCGTGTATCAATGTTGATGATCTCCGTCTCCATCTGCACGAAATCATAATATACAGTATAGTATAATCATATAATACATTTTCGCATCGTTGTTCGAGACGATTCTACCGACGGACAATACGTATTTACCGACAGTGAATTGCCTTACCATCGGTACCGTCGGTGCAAACATTTATGTGGAAGAATTGTTCTCAGTATGTGCGCATATATAGGGAATATGTGGGCCATTAAGCCATTTGATCGATTATGCTTTTGCTGGTACCGTTGTCTCAAAAATGAAAATAACTCATGGATAGGCATGGTAACCGTAAACCTCTGACTATGAACTCTGGGCTGGGTTATACATGATATTTTGTGTTAGTAATAAACAAGTCAGTCATAAACAGGAAAATAAGCATGTATTAATAAGATGCTTTGATTAACATAGCAAGCTATAAAGACAATGAGGGGGAGGGGGGCTTATATTCAGGTGGGGGATTATATTTGGGATGAGGTTAACCTGAGTATTAGGCTCTATTTTACAAATAATTAGCCCGACACAAACCTTAATCCGATTGATTTCCACCCACAGCCAAGTTTATATTTAGTATCCAATCAAAATGTCACAGGAGAAATTTAAATTTCACACAATGACAACAACAATCTAATTATAGTTGTGATAACTATAAAATCTGCAGCAACAGTAGTATAATCTTATTAGCACCAACCAATCAAATGACAGATTAAAAAATCTTTTGTCTCATAGACCAATCAGATATACAACAGAAATATGGTTGTATGGCATGGATTTATGCCAAGGTTTGTATCAGGCCTATTTATTTATTATTAGGCCTGATCGCAGGTTAGAATGAGGTGAGAATTTATAGTACATGTGCTGGGCTTATACACAGGAGGCTTATATTCGGAGGTTTACAGTATTGCTTGGATTTGAGTTGTAAGGATTTTGATAAAATATTTGCATAAAAAATCAAATGCTCCATACATGCCTAATCTCCCTACACCTGGCCTGGAGCTTAATATTTATAGCTGTATCATATTTGCTTGTTTTATTTTAACATTGTTGAAGCAGCAAGAGTGCAAATGGGGCTCTTAAGATCCATGTAAGGCATTCTCCTGTTTCAATTAGATATACCCAGTACAGCTTGTTGTAGCCAGTTTCTTGGCCAGTAAGATGTAAAACCTTCAACTCTATTTCAGAGCTTTAGTATCCAGTCGGGATAGTATCATTCATAGTTTGGTATCCAAAACGAAATTTTTGGTATCCTGTGGATATCGGGATACTGCAAATTTCAGATACTGAACCACATATTCAGCAAACACCATCTACCATACAGGCCACTCAAATCTATTGAATGAATTGAGCACAAGTTCAAATTTAATTTGTGTGCAAACCATTAACTAAATAGCCGTGTGTAAACATATTCGTTATGACCTAATGAGGGGCAGCAGCAAAATATGCACTATAGGCCCTCTCGTAAGAACTGAACCTGCGATTGCAGTGCAGTGATCTGAGCTACAATGCATTAGTACAGAGTCCAGTTGTTGAGCTCTAAAAACAATAGCATGATGCTGTGAGAACATAATATTATATGGGTACTAAGCATCTAGATTTTTGTACAACTTAAAGTGTAATTTTTGAGTGAATATATGAATGTCCCATAACATCTTCTCACTATTTTCAGGATTGGAAAACTGAAGGACAGAGGGTAAAGGAGGATGAAGATTGTGGGATTGCACAACATATAAGCAAAAAATGTCACAAGTCTTTCCCAAGAGCAAAGGATGCAAGTTACCATGAAAAGTAATGTGAAGAGAGCATGTGTAACATATGCAGCAAGAAATTCTTGAACCGACTGGCTTTAAAAAGACATATGGCTATTCATGAAGGAAAGTACAAATGCAAAACATGCCAAAAATCATTTTCTGGACAAAATTCACTGAAACGTCATGTCAAAGTACACAGATCGCACACAAAAAAAAGAATTTGCCTGTCGTTTGTGTGATGCAAAATTCACAACCAAGTCAAACATGATAAGGCATGTTAAAAGCCACTTCTAATTTATTTAGTACAAACAACACTAATATAATTGTGTCACTATCTCAAAGTTATTAAACTAATATAATTCATTAAAATATTAACATTTGCTAATTTAATTACTTTTCCAACTACAGTTTTTATTATCCTAATATACCAATCCGACATCTCTCTCCTCCACAGGGTTTTTTTGTGCTTTTCCACCACACTATGCAAGAAGTTTACACAGTGCCTACTGCTGGTTGAACAATGTCAAAAGTGAGCAGTTAGCACTATGTAAAGTCCATGTAAAGCACAGTGAGGAAAGGACAAGAAACCTCTGTGGAGGAGAGACTATCGGCATTCAAATATTTATTAACCCATTAAGCAGCATTGCATCCTCATGGGCACTTTGTTATTTTACTCTGTCTAATGCCAGGTTAAGAGGAGAGTACTGGTGCTTAATGGGTGAAAACATCTTGTATGACAATGTGTTTAAAATACATGTATATTTTATCTAAAAACCCTGAACAAAAGCACCAAAATGAAAGTACAGTACAATATGGTTAATTTCCATATATTCTGGTTTTTGTAGCCATACTTCTGCCAGCTTTTTTTGCAACTGGCTCATTTCTTTGCACATTTTCTGCAAACCTATGTGCACGTTTAGCATTTCCAGCCACTTTTTGAAATGGATTGTTCTTTGCAGTTTGACCCTTGTGTTGCTTTCGCCTTGATCCATTTCTTACCTTTCGACGTTTTACAGCTTCTGGTTGAACAGCAATTGTTCCTCTTTTGCGTTTTTTAACAATCGATGTGTTAGTGAGACGGGTATTATAAACCCCTTCTGCACCAAAACAATGAAAACTTGTTGTAAGCTTCGATTTAGGCATCTTTTTCACTCTATCCGCAAACTTAAGGACACTTCGAAGGAAATTTTGGTCTGTTGCATTAGATGCAAGTTTATCTTGCAAGGATAGCATAGCTTCATTTAACGCATAGCTTCATTCAGGACATGGCACATCAGTGGCTGGTAGTGATATAACTTGGTCATGTAATCCCTCATAGAAATGCAAAGGAAATGTAGGTCCTATAGCAATCTCAGCATACATCATCCTCTGTTCTTTGCTGAAAACTGGTAAGAAGTTTACGGCAACTGACAGCTTGTTCACCCACAGAATATATTGATGTTTGCATGGGGAACCGTTAACACCAATCTTGCACTGACAGAATCCAGTGTTCATATCAACCAGATATTGTACTCCCTCCACAGACAGGCTTGGTACCAGGAACATATTGCAGCCAACATTGACAATCTTCTCCAATGCAGCCTTTTGCTCATCGAAACTTGGTACTTTGAAGCCAACTCCATCTGACTTTTTCTTCCCAAGACCTTTGAAGCGCCTGCTATAAATTCCATCAAACTTGCCTACAGTTTTGTAATAGAAGAAAAAATTTACAATGATTACCTGGCTTAGTTTTTTGTAAATACATTTAGAACAACAAACTCTAGTCTACATGAAGTACTATGCATTAAAATTAGGAAGGTGCTGGCCAGTACCATGTTATGTTTAATTTAGTTTTAAAAAAAGTGTATGTATAAACCGATATAAATTTATAGGATTTGTTTTATATTTCTGAAAACATGAAATGTAAGTAAGTTTAAATTTTTTTGTTATTTTACACTAGACATAAATTTAGTAAGACATGTAGTAGTTTATTTAAATTAAATTAACTAATATATTAAATTAAATTGATTTAAATTATCAATTGTTCATTTGGTGATTTTAATACCCTATAGATGTGACACTGAAATATGTTAGTAATGTTACAGTCAAACCTGTATTAGTGAGCACCCTTGGGGAATGAGTTGCTTGTCAGTTAATACAGGGTGGTCACTATATTCCTTGAAAATTCCTCTGTGCTAAACAAACACAAAGGACTTTACGAAAATCTAGGTGGACTGGTGGTCGTCCAATACATAGCATGCTTGCACCTGCTAGCAGACACTTATACATTTATACTAGCAGACACTTATATGTACACAAAGCGTCCAACCCAAAACAGGGCCACTTAATACAGGTTCGACTGTAATGGGTCATTACAACCCCCTTACCCCTAGACTTGCTCCAAGTCTCTCTTTCATTTGTTATAGTATCGATCCACTATATTGTACATTACATGACGTAGCACAGAGAGGCGGAGCAAGAAAGAGAGACTTGTCAACTTCCGAAAATCTCGGTTCAAAACTGAACCGAAAATGCAAGACTTGCTTTAATTGTTTTCCTTCAATTTCTTTCTGTATTATTTACTATTATGGAACTCACATATTTACACTGTGCTAGATCAATACATATAAACACTGACAGAAAACAATTAAAGGAAGTCTTGCATTTTCGGTTCAGTTTTGAACCGAGATTTTCCGAAGTTGACAAGTCTCTCTTTCTCGCTCCGCCCCTCCGTGCTACGTCATGTAATGTACACTATAGTGGATCGATACTATATGACAATGAAAGAGAGACTTGGAGCAAGTCTACCCTACCCCCTTCGGATGTCCTAATACATTTACTATTAACCCTTTAAGTGGCAATGCACCAAGATGCGCCCTGCTTTATTATTTTACTCTGTCTAGTGTCTAGCGCCAGACGATTTTACTCGTCAAGGGGGATTTATTTTTAATATTCAATATATGTAGTTTTATACCTGATGAAACTGACAAAAGCTTATTGCGGTAGTGTTGATCTAGCTCAGTTGTAAACTTGTCCATGAGACCAACAACATTAACTTCTTTTTGGCGGTTTAGGATCTCGTCTTTAATGACCAAAAACTGTGCTTCACACAAGTTGTTGGTATTATTACCCCTCATAGGTAATTGAATTCGGTAACAGAGTGCCCATGCCTCACAGTCCTCGAAGACATCAGTGACATACTTTTTAAAGTTTGGGTATTTTGATGTCATGTCGCTTGTTATGAGGGCATCAAATAAATCATGTAGGTCATCTTCATTCTCTGCATAGAGAATCGTCTTGAATGCCAAGAGCAAGGGAGGCCGATCTTCCAAGCTTATTCCATTTTTCTTCTCGTGTAGCCAACGCCAAACCTGTTGAAGCACATGAAAGATGCAAAGGACTGGAACAGACTTCGGCCACACATCTTTTAATGCAACTCGCAATTCATGGCAGTTATCTGTCATAAAAACTCTAGGCCGGTTGCACCATAAAAGGCAAAATCAGGCAAGGAAGATTTAAACAGCTCCAAAGCATCTCTAAGAGTTTGCTCTTTCTCATCGCTGGTTACAAAAATTCCCAAGGGAAGGGCTCCACAAACACTATGTGTAACCACTACAAACACACGGAGATTGTATTCTTCCATATTTGAGGAGGAATCCAAGAAAGCCAAATCCTTTGCTTGTGCAACCTGTAATAATATCAATCAAACAACAATATTTAACAAAGACCCTATCGTATCATCAGTTATCATGTTGCTGAATTAATATTTTAAATGTGAGTCTGTATTTACTGTAAATTCTCTATTCAGCCACCCCCCCCCCCC